ATGAAGATGTTGAGATGGCCGAATCTACAGAACTACTCGAGTCAGCACCCATTGGTTATAACACGGAGGTTCCCGTACCCAACGGCGAAACAAGCAAGGAGCCCGAGCAAGCGCAACCGGAGACAGTAATCACCGAGGTAACCACACAAAGCGCAGACGAAACTACGAAGGCAGATCAACCAGTATCGGCACCCACACCGCCGGTAGATGGACAGACTGAACCAGCAATGACAGCATCTGAAGACGTGGAAATGGCAAACGCGCCCAACGGTGAAACTGGCAAGGATCAACCAGCGGCTTCAGGTGCCGAGCCAGAGAAGAACGCGGATCAACCAAGGCACGAACTCGAGCAACAACAACAACCAGACCAAGAACCTCAAGAGGAGCAACTCGTCCATGGCGTAGAGGACTTGCGAGCCAAGGCTAATGCTCAACGTGACGCTGCCCTCAGCACCGTGGCATCAGTAGCGGCACTACAGGAATTCCTCGACGAACCTTACATCCACCCTATCTTCCTCGCCCCACGAACCTCTCACCCAGACCGCGATTTTGGCCTCCCCGAGCAAGAAGCCGAAGACGTGCGGCGGCTGCTCCAGCTGTACGTGCAGAAGCAGGAAGAAGTCTGCCGCGGCACCCGCAAGCTATACGAGGGTCTGCGCAAAGCGGACCGGTACCGACAAACGGTGCTCTCGTGGGCCAAGGCCGAAGCGCACAGCGGAGCCAACCGCGACATGTCGGACGGCGAGGACTGGTACGACAAGGAAGAGTGGGGACTGACCGAAGACCTGAAGAAGGGAGAGGATGAGGTGGAGGAGGAGACGGCGGTGACGCAGAAGAAGACGCGGAACCGGAAGTAAGCAAAAACCAAAACTGCGAACCTCCCCTCGTTGGCTTTTCTGGCTTTTGTGGCTTTTGTGTCCCTTTTGTCGTGCTCCCCTGCTCCTGCGTATAATTATTATTGTTTCCATGACTTTGTTGACTGTATATACGGCAGGCGGGCCTAAACCCACGATGCATGTCTGGTGTAACTTGGCCGGTTGGCTGGATGGGTTGCTTAAGAGAAAACGGAGTTATGGTTTGATGGGTCTGGGAGTTTGGCGCAACTGGCGAAGAGGAAGGTGATTAAGGACGGGTGCTCCTTGGAGAGACGTGGAACAAAGCAACGCAGGAGAGATATATTGTAGTCCGCAAATCTGTGCTGCGTATGATAAGGGCAGCCGAACGCTTTGATGGTCAGCATGGTCGCTTTAGATGATAGGCAGATAGCATCAATGAATATATTGGCGATGATTCCCATTCAATATTTACGAGTCGCACCAGTGGCCATGTCAACTTTTTTGACATCCGATGGCACTTTGTTGCCTTGCGGTTTGACAGATTGACAGCCAGATGGCGCCGGCGTGGCCCGGGCATGGCATGGCGTGGCGTGGCGTGGCATTTAAGCTTATAACAACACCAAAAGTCCATCATCAGATGGAAAGCGGCTCCCGTCAATTATCAGATTGTCATTAAAATAATCATCAACCCTGTGGACATGATCAATCATCAGTAATACACTTGACCCGCCACTCGTGCCATCAATATCAGAATTACACCCGATGGTCCACATGTTGTCAGCAAAAGTCGAAAGTCGGAAGTCGGGATGAACAGGATGCCGAACGACAAGGGAAGAGTGGGTGGAGATCCCGTGGGTGGAGGTGGGGCTTCCCGTCGCTTCGTTCAACGAACTGAAAGATGTAAAAGATGAGACGGTTGCGGCTCCGATGGCGACTGACAAGCGATGAAAGCGTCCATCGCGAATGGATGTGCAGCATACAGTCAGAGGGAAGCTATTGACCGAAATAAGAAAGGTTACCTATCACGGGATCAGTCAAACATCTTGGACAACCACATGTCCACAACATATGATCCACCTGTCCAGCTTGTCTCAGGCTCCATCCAGCATGCATGGCCACAGGGCCACAGGGCCACAGGGGACGCTAACCCCTAAACCGGCCTAGGCTAAAGCGGCCCCAGATTGCTTGATTGCGGAAAGGTGCCTTCCGGTGGGGAGGGTCACGCCGGAATCCATCGTTGGATCCTCACTCGCATGGACGACATGGTTTTGGGAGCGGGAGGGAAACAACATGGTGCATGGATGATGGAGTGAGGGATGCGAATCCGAACGGGGATGCAAGGAAGGAAAGGGAACACTGACAACGGATCACTCACATAACCTCACATTTTCGTCACCATCCATTTATCTTCCTCCTTATAACTCTTACAACTACCGACCTCACACACAGCACAGCAATTGCATCGCATCGGTATCGAGTCCCAAACGGTCAGGCAGATTTCGCAGTTCCCTTGCATACTAACATTCAGCTATGCGGGAGTGAGCACGACAGGCGACTTCTAGAGGGTGGGTTAACCAAATACCGAGCGCCGCCACAGCCACGAACCTACCAAAACCATGACTGCCGACCTCGAAAAGTCCGGCGTGCACCCCGACCCGGTAACCATGGTCGAAGCCGCAGGCGCAGCAACCAACACAACCACCGAATCCGTCGCCGGTCCCGCCGCGCCAGCCCCGGACCTCACCACCAAATCCAGCGCCTCGTCAGCCACAACCCCCGAACCAATCTACCCCAAAGGTCTCAAACTAATCCTCATCATCGCCTCCCTCTGCCTGGCCGTGTTCCTGGTAGCTCTCGACCAAACCATCATCGCGCCCGCCCTCGGCGCCATCACCCAGGAGTACGGATCGGTGAAAGACATTGGCTGGTACGGCGCCGCCTATCTCTTGTCAACAACGTGCTTGCAGCCTACCTACGGCACCCTGTACCGCATGTTCAGCGTCAAGTTCGTGTACCTCTGCGCTATCTTGCTGTTTGAGATTGGCAGTCTGGTATGCGCCGTGGCGCCGACGAGTAATGCGTTTATTGTGGGCAGAGCGGTAGCCGGCATGGGCACGGCGGGCATGTTCAGTGGTGGAGTGGTTATCCTGAGTTATACGCTGCCGCTGAGGAGCCGCCCGATGGCCTTCGGGTTGATCGGCGCCATGTGGGGGATTGCGTCGGTAGCGGGCCCGCTGCTGGGGGGCGCCTTCACCGATAGCAAGGCTACCTGGCGGTGGTGCTTTTATGTGAACTTGCCGATTGGCGGGGTGGCCATCGTTGCCATCTTTGTTTTCCTGCATATCAACAGGGAGGACAATCCCATGGGATTGACGGCTCTGGAGAGGGTGAAGAAGCTGGATTTGATCGGTACCGCGGTGCTGATCCCGGCGATTATCATGTTGTTGCTGGCGCTGCAGTGGGGAGGGGCCGAGTATGCGTGGAACAATTCGAGGATCATTGGGCTCTTTGTGGGCGCCGGAGTGATGGGATTGATGTTTGTGGGGATTCAGAAGTGGAAGGGCGATAGGGGCACGATTCCGCCCAGGCTGTATAGGAACCGGAATGTGGTCTGTGCCATGTTCTTTGCCTTCTTCTTTGGCGCGGGGTTCTTTAGTTTGGTCTATTATTTGTGTAAGTTGCCCTGCTCTGGCACTTACTTCCCGGGACGTGAAATGGGGGACAACAGAAAGCTAACTGGGACACAACAGCCCTCTACTTCCAAGCCATCAAAGGCGACAGCGCCGTCAAAGCCGGCATCAAGCTCCTGCCCATGCTCATCTCAGTCGTCATCACCTCGGTCAGCACCGGCGGTCTCATCACCGTCGTGGGATATTATAACCCCTTCATCCTGCCTTGCATGGTCTTGTTCAGCGTCGGTGCGGGTATGATCACCACCCTCGGCATCAACAGTCCTCTCCGCGAATGGTTCGGCTACCAGGTCATTACCGGCCTCGGCATCGGTGTTGGTTTCCAGGCCGGCGTGCTCGTCGTCCAAAACACCGTTTCCCTCGAATGGATCCCCGTCGCCACCGCCTGCGTGCAATTCCACCAGTCCATCGGCGGCGCCATCTTCATTGCCGTATCCCAGTCTGTCTTCCAGAACGGGTTGACGGCAGGTGTTAAGCGCAACGCCCCCGGTATCCCTCCCGAGATCTTCATCAACAGCGGCGCTTCGCAAGTGAGACCGATCCTGACGCAGATGGGCCGCGAGGATCTGATTGAGCCCGTGCTGCAGGCGTATTTGGACGGGTTGAGACACAGCTACTACATCACCGTGGGGTGCGCGTGTTGTGCGTTTGCCGTGGCTTGTGGGTTGGACTGGAAGAAGATCCAGAAAAAGAGGGGTGGGAAGAAGGAGGAGGCCGCCGAGGAGAAGAAGGTGCTCGCTGATGAGGAAGCTGGTGGAGTGGAAAAGCCGGCGACGGCCGTGAGTGCAAATGCGAGTGAGGAGGTGAAGCCTGTTGTTGAGGTGTTGGAGAAGGAGAAAGTTTGAACATTCGACGAGTGATACCCACATGTTTTTGTTGTATAAAGAGCGTATTATGTACATAAATGTGCAATGTCTTTTAGGGCCATGATATACGCCGGCTTGGTCAACATTCTGTACCGCTTGTCGTTGTGCATGAGCATTAAACCGTAATATTTGGACAGCTTGACATGTCTCTTGTGTGAGACATCACAGGTCTGACACTTGTTACCTTTCTAGACTAAGTGTTGATTGACCGAGCGAAGAGACTCTACGTTAGAATTTCCTCAGATCACCATTCTTGATATCCAATCTTTGAGCAATCACCTCACCTGGTGATCATTAAGATACCTGAGAGCCAGTCGCACATCTCACGGGCTGGGTGCACAATGGAAACCACCAAAAGATAGACCATATCCTGCTTGCCAGCACAACTCAGAAGGGTACGCTATATACCGTAGGCAATGTTATCCCGTGACAACGCAGGAAAAGCTTTACATCTATCATGCCCAACAACCATAGGGAAAGAAAGGTACATATACCATTGAGCAACGATAAGGGACTGGAGAATTCGACACGAGATGGAGTCACAAGAAAAAAAAAAAAAAAAAAAAAAAAAAAAAAAGGAAAAGGCCAGAAAAAGAGGGAAGAGTCACTGCACAATCCGGGAGACGAACCCGGGTCACTCATTATTCCTTGCCCATGGATAACTTTTTGGGAAACGAGAGTACTGACCGCTATACTAACCGCGATTTTTTCTTTTTGATTTCCTTGTTGAAGATCCTTCGAACGGAGCTCATCATAACGGACAAGCGAAGGCAGCTCAGGGAAGGTGCGACATGGCAGGCGGTTGTTTGCTGTCTGATGTGCGAACTGTGGATTCCCGTTGAGGAAGGAGGGATGGGGTGGTAAACACTGGAGTGTCGAGAGGGAAGGAGCGTCTGGCGGGACGGGAGACTTGATAGTGGAACGAGTGGAAACTACGACAGGAAAAGAACTAATAGGTGCCAGTAGGCAGGTGGTCCCTGCCTGGCTCGAGCAGAGGAGGAGAGGAAAGAGCAGTCTCATGTGTCAATCATAGCGTGAGGGTTCACGCCAATCCTCAACTCTCACCTGCAAGTTCTCAGTGGTGGAAAACAGAAGTAGTGGGTGGCCGCTGACTTTCGTCGAGGTCGCCGAGCAGCCCAGGTCATTCATCACGCAGCAAGTACCGTTTTTGGTTCGACCTGATGTCAGATGTTTGGTACTTATCAACGCATCGGGAGATCCAGCAAACCATTCGACGCTGAACAACACCGTCCGTACTATCGTACGAAGCTCTCTGGTCTAAGCAAAAAAAGATCGGAGAACCAGATGAAGGGCATTCTATACCATAATTCAGATAAGCCTGGGTTCTGAATGTTATTCTACAAACTAGACTTATATCGCTACCTTCATGGTAGTCCTGTGTTCACGACTGATGAGTTACGAATCTGGTACACGTCCGTAGGTTCCCACCACCCTAAAGCCCGTACGCACTTCTACTTGTATCATGATACCCCTTCTCTTCTAGGAAGAGCTCGCTTAAGCGAGCCTAAAGCGAGTGAGTAAGGGTGACCGGTCAAGCTGGTGTGGGCAACGAAGAGTCCCCAAACGAGTAAGATCAGCCTGGGCTCTTGGAGCTTGTTCTTGGTTACTCATTTCATGTGCTTTCTTTTATTCTTGGCCGGCTGACAAGGTGGCTGGGCAGGACAGTGACAGCTGAGAGGACTCCCAGATGAACACCCTTCAACGCAACTTGATGATATAGTTGCTGTATGTAGTCTGTCATCATAGACCCACGTAAACGAATTGGAATCTCCTGTTCGTGATGCCCACCAAGTAAAAGTTTAGGACACCCCCATCCAAGACTTTCTTCCACTCAAAAGAGAAGAGGTCGGGAAAAAAGCATGCCGAGTTCTCGAGTTCCTGTTCTCATCCAACACCCCCAATGAAGTGTAATCTGGATTAAATGCGAGGTCGCATTGGGTACTCAACTGCACAGCATCTGGCATCATGGAGAATAACCAGTCAGGATCATCGATCATCAAGCAGGATCGACCTCACATGATGATGTTCGATGGCGGTACCGGAAAAAGCAAAACCAAGAACCGGTGAATGCCTCATCGGTGGCCAGTCCCAATGATTCGAAGGAGGCAGCCGATCATACGACAAGAAAGTTTGTGCGTGTGTGGTGAAGTCACTTTTTCTCGAATCCGTACGTAGAGTGTCGTTAATGAGGGTTTGTGCATATCTGCGGGGGTCAGTGTAAGTTGGGGGTCTCCATGTCCGTAAAAGGCAATGGGGGCCGATGGGAAGAGTGGGGGTACGATTCATTGTGGCGATTATTCCCCCACAACGTTGGCTGAATGGTCGATGTTTTTTTGGTGTAGTGGTCGTCTCCGTGGGGCGTCTTTACCTCGGCCATATTCCCGTGGGAAAAACCAAGGTTTGTAGCCAAGACATACTTCATTACGAAACTTGAAGGTGTGTTTACCTCAGGCATAACATGTCATGTCAAACGGAAATGTCGCGGCTCGCGTACGAGATGGGTGCGCTGAGCAAAACGTAACGCTGTGGCAGTTCGAACTGTGATGGAGAAAGGCGGGGGGGAAAGGAGCCCGCTGGACGACGTGAATCATGGGGAAAATGGAGTCTGTTGCAGTGACGAGAAAGGGAATTGGTGGATAAAGGTTGCAGTAGAGAGGTAAAGAATAGACCAAGGTAGTCAGGGGTTTATGCGCTGGGAAGCCCACGTTGAGAACGACACTCGTCAAAATCGGCATGGAAAACCCAAAGTATGGGCAAACTATCCCTACCCGCGGAAATACCCCAACGAGCTGTTCAAAAGCAAGGCGAGCGGGATCAGGAAGAGTAACAGAAACGAGGGAAGTTACCATATCAGTCAATGATTGTGAGGAAGCTGGAGAGGGGTAAAAGCCGACGCTGGATTGATGGAACTTCAGCCCCTCTTCACGTTTCACACACTCACCTCAACTTCCCGCCTTTTCTCCTGTCCAGCTTTCGATTACACACCTCTCCTTACTCCTCAACGCGCCTACTATCCCTGCTGAGGCCGCCTCGTGTGCACGATGACAGAAAATTGTCCAAATCCTCGTTAGCTTCCGCCGGATGGTCTCAAGCGCGGGATGTCTCCGGGTACTCTCTCTGTACCGTACGGTGTAAGTCGTTAGGGCTGTTGGACGTATCCGGACTACACACCAAGGCCCCAAGGTATCATTTTCCCGACTCTTCTACGCTTCGGAGTGGGTCGTTTTGTTGGCCAATTTTTGCGCGCCTCGTGATGTCTTTATGCATAGTATCTGCAGAATCAGATACGGTGATGGTTGCTAGTTGAAGTCGATCGCAACGCTGGTGCGTTTTTGATCGAGGAATTGGGGCCATGGCCAATAATTGGTTTTGAGTATGCAAGGAACCTTTTCGCCGTCTAATGTATTCTTGTTGCTTTTGAGCGTGGTCCTGCGTGGGAACTCGAGGTTTGAATATCTTATGGTAAGTATAGCACACAGTGTTAAAAGACCAAGACAAGTACACCGTGTACTGTATGCTGGAAACATATCTCGTTCCAAACATCATCTCACCCCCACGAAGCGGTTAACCGTAGTGGTAGAGCTACGAACAGTAAGCGACGAGCATGTTCGATCGCGGACAAAATTAGCGGCTCGGTCCCGCCATGACCCTCATCGACGTGCACACTATCCACTCACTCCCAGTGCGGCGAGTCTGACGTGCAGCAACAACCGAGTTCTTGGCTCAGACTAGAAAGGGGTCATCGAATTGACCAACATGGGCAGAGGTACACGAATGTAGGGTCTCCTTGGTGAACTCGATTGGTCGACTTTCCCCGTCAGATGACCGAATATGCAAGTCGGCTGTAAGGGTGTGAAGTAGTTGATGCAATACTCTTAGATGGTGAGATACTGTTTGAAATCTTAGGGCGTGATCGGCTACCTGGAAATCAGGACTCGGAAGTCTTCCAGGTCGTTTTTTCCAAGTGCTGTTCGACAAGACCTGGAAGTCTTCCAGCTGGAAATCGAGTCTCGGAAATCGTTTTACCCCACAATAGTGCTAATGACCAATCAAATAATTATATTCACCCCAAAACTCCAACGAACAGCTTCCGGACCTTTAGACTTCTGGAAATCGATCCTGGAACTAGATCACTTCCAAACCATTTCCGAATGGCCTGTGCACAACTTCGGAAATCCATTTCCAAGCCACCATTTCCAGGCTGCATTTCCAGGTAGCCGATCACGCCCTTACCTGGTACTTGATTTCCGTCTTGCTGACTACTGCCATATTTTTGGTGTCATGGTGGCATACCGCATCTACTCATCTGTGACAGATCTCCTCTTTTGGGGAAAGTCACAGCTTATGCGGGCGATTTTAGCTTCCTCTTAGCGCATATGCAGCATCTCTCCAATAAGCCCACAGAGCATATCTGTTATGGTTGAGTAGAAGCGGTAGTATAGGTCTGATCGAGTGATGCTTTTGGCTGTCCACAACTCGGCTTGAAATAAAGCCTAAGGCGAGTCCAGCAAGCCAAACCACAGCGGCTGTTGCCGACGCTAGAGGAAGTGTGGTAGAGTGCTGCCCAGCGAATGTCGGACCCGTTGGTACGGATGCAATTATGGTTGGTGTACCAGTTTGAGCCTCCTATATGGGGTCCCGTCGATAACACTTGATTAGATTGTGGATGACCCTTGGTTTTGTGCCTTGGCCGTTGGGGGCTTTCGCGGGGAGCATGTCCGCCACGTGGAGGTCTTTTGGCTGCTTGCGTTTTGGCCATGTCGAGAGGCCGGACGGCTACCGCGACGGTCCCGGACCCGTTCGCCTTGCTCTTGTCCGTACGCTACGGGAGAAGTTGTCGGCAAGAAGATCAACTGCAGTTACCCGGAAGTGGGCATTCTACCGGTTGGAGTCCGCGCAAAGACCCCCGATAGACTTTTTATGCTCGAGCACACCCAGCTATCTCTTTTCTTGGCTTGTCGGTTCACGCAACGTCCGATATCGAGCGTCAGGGGCAATGCTGAATTCAGGCTTCAACCCGTGGCTGCCTTGTCGTGCCCATGCCTCTCAGAGGGCAAGAACCGGTATTCGTCAGGGAAAAACGCCATGTTGGAAGCTATTCACGAGGTGGCGGCTAGTTGTTAGGGCGTGCTACACAAGACTTGGGAGGACTGACCGTGAATAATATTTAGCATAGTCTTTCGTCGATATCTAGGAGTTGGGTGGGCATGGAGTCCAGGCTTCGACTCCAGAAGCGCAGTTGGTGAAAGAAATGTCGTCGCCGTAAAAGTAGGTGGAGAGGGGAAGGATGACTGGTGGTGGTGACGGCCGATGATGAGTACAGGAGACGATCAAAAGGTGACAAGGTGTCGATCAATTGCGTGGCAGAATCCAATTTGAAAGAGGTCAAGTTAAATTGCCCTTGTTGAATTGTCCGTTGAATTGACATGCGCAAGCTCCACAGCCTCTTAGCTGGGAGCCAATAACATGAGTAATTCAGCAAGCACTAACAGTAGCCGCGCCAACTCAGCCCAAAAAGCGGTAAATGTGGTTAGCATCTTGGCAGATCTTGCTAAGGAGATCTAGACTCGTCTGCATCCCATCTCCAATAAGCACAGCACAGACGCTTTTTTCGACTTGACATCCAACTTGTCCCTCAACCATCCAGGTCGGATCCAAAGTCCCGTTTGACGAACGCGATTCT